CGAGGCGTGCAGCACCCTAGCCTGTCTTTCCAGAGGTTTCCCATCAAATTTGGCTCACTCAAACTTTGACAGCAATTTATAGGGGATGCCTAAAGTTGGTGTTGAGATGGCAGATGTCCCCTTCACGAAGACAGCCAAGCCAGGCCCCACCTCAGTCATCACTGGGCTAAGCATACTATGCCCATAGTCATAAGAGTCCGATCCCACAAGTTACCAATAGATGATATGGTTGCTTCTGCAGGAACATGTACAGGGACCCAAAGGAAGCGAGGTACTTCACCTGGGCTGGCTAGGGCTTGCCACCTTCACACAAGCTAGAGTCGTCTAGGAAGAACAACCTCAATCAAGAAACCACTTCTATCACGTGGGCCTGTGGGCAAGCCTGTTGGGCATTTTCTCGATTAATGATCGATGGGGGGGGGGCAGTCCAACATGAGCAGTGCCAGCCCTAGGCAGATGGTCCTAGCATACATAAAAAAGCAAACTGAACAAGCCATGGGGAGCAAGCCACGGGGAGCAAGCCAGTATGCAGCAGTCCTCTACGGCCTCTGCTTCAGCTTCTGCTTCTAGGTTCCTCTCTGGAGTTCCTGCTCTGACTTCCATTCATGCTAGACTACAACTGTGAGCTGAAATCAACCCTTTCCTCCCCCAGCTGCACTTGGCCATGGTGCTTTTCACAGTGCCCATTAGCCTCCTAGTCCGACTAGGCTGCATGGGCTGTCCAGACCCTGCATAGCTCTCTGAAACCTGACATTTTATGTCGCGCCTTGGGGACAGTACCTATAGGTGTGACAGTATCAAATAAGCATTGTGTAGCCCTTTGGATCCTGTACCAAGATAGATTGTAGCCCCAGTGCCAAGACAGATGGTAGCCCCAGTGCCAGCCTCTGCTTGGTTTAGGGGCAGGGGCTCAGTGGAGGTTTCCCCTCTTTTCCTAGTACTAAGTGACAGGTACCAGACCTGCCAATTTAGATAGAGCGCTGCAAGATCCCCATCTCTTCAGAAAGCCATGGGAAAGGGCCACAAACCTTGCTCTCTCTCATGTACTCTAGCCTAGGAGGCGCCATCAGGACCACATGGGAAGCTCTGGACATCCTGTCCCCAATCTTATCCATAGACTCGTTTTCATTTTGGACATCCAGGATGACCTCATAGTCTATTCCTGACTCATTATATCATCCTGTTTCCAAGGGAGTCTGTCGAGACCTAGGCAATGACTTAGCGGAGGTTTCCACTGCTAAAGCCAGCACATGTTCAGGAATATGTAAGGGCCTCCTTAGCTAAGGATAGCCCCATGAAGAGACCAGATTAACCATGGGCAGAGAGCAGGAGCGAGCACAAACCAGGCACCTCAACATCTGCCAGCCCCTGAGCACCTCATTTGAGCCGGGTCTCTCCATTCGGGCAGCTGGAGGTCAACGGTACTGCCTCCATCTGTCACCTGGACCCTGTGCTCCTCAGACACTTCCCTGTGACACTCCACTAAATGAGGCTTTCCACAATTCTTCATGTTTTCAGGACCCTGGTAACTGCCAAGAACTCATCCAACTTGGTAATTCTTTTGCCACTCTACCGGCTTTTTATTACTATTTCTGCTAGGCTTCAAGCTTAGGGCGGTAGGAAACGTGCTAGTCTTTTCCATTGTTTCAGTGCCAGCGTCTAACCCCAGTGTGTGGCAGGGACCTGCTAGCTGCTGAATGGGTAATGATGTGTAGTACCGAGGATAACCAAGAATTCTGTGTGATACCCGGTAGGCAAAGAGAAAGGAGGTAAGTGAAGAAGACAGCAGCTGTGTCTCAGAAGACCGAGGGAACTGGGCCTCCCGGTCAAAATGGCCCTCTGTGGTTAGAAATCATTTAAGCTGCAGGCTCAGCGCTCCTGTCATATCAGTGTCTAAGCCATCTGAGCATTTCCCATACACGTGTACCCCGGAAGGGTCTCTACCTTCAAAAGACTTGGACTTCAATTTAGTATCATTTGCACTATCATTACACTCCCCCACACTATTATTACACTTTGCCCACTCTTGGTGTGCTTCCCATAAGCTCATGAGAGGAAAACCCCTAAAGGGGATATCCTGTCCATGATGATTTGGGAAGGCAAAGGGCCACCTTATGCCATGAGTACGCAACCTGTCACATAAATATTCATGAAAATTTCTTTAGCATTCATGGCACAGAACTCACTGGGTTGTTTCCCGGAGTCTCTTTGGAGTGTTTGCTTCGCTCAGGGACCTTCTGCTCTCACTGTCCATGACTCTAAACCGAATTCTTCCCTTCAAGAAGACAAGACCCAAGAGATCCCTGTAATGTGCGTGTGTGCATGTGTGTATGTGTGCATAAGGAAAATCAAGCATGTATTAATCAAGAAATCAAGACAGACTCAATATGTGAGGGCGTTGTCCAAGAGGCTAAAAATGAGAGAAAGAATACCTAATAGAAAAGAAATATATAACTAGGGCAATTCATCAGGTTTATGCTCAGTTTCAGCTTTAACATTTTTTAGGGCACATGGCCACAGGCAATGCCTCATTTGCTGGAGCCCTGGAAGCTTGGCTACCCTACACCACTTCACACATGGACTTTTCCAGCTTGTCTGAGGCTTCTAGCAGGGGAAGCACAGCTACTCTTGTACTCTTGACCAAACACAGTTTTTCCTCTCGCAGGTAGGCCACCCTCTTAGATGGTGGAGGAAGCTTTAGGAGGGGTGCATACCACAGGAGCAGGGAGGGAGGGAGGAGGCACCTTCCTAGCCAGCTGGATCAGCCTGGGGCCAGGTCCACTCACATCATTCAGATTTTAGGAGGCCCTGAGAACAGAGCAAGGACTGCACAGTTATAATCCTCTATTAATCATATTCTTGGTTCTTTTCAGGAGAGGTTTACCAACAACTTCTCAGTTTGCTTATTCACTCATATATTTAAGAAAATTTATTGAATAATTTTTAAAAATTAAGCACTGAAGATAAAATATGTATGATCACATAACACACACACACACACACACACACACACACACACACACACACACACACTAAAAATAAAGAGCACAGCACAGGGCTCAGCACATGGCAAGCCTCAGAGGGCTCTTGGCTGGCTTACAGCAACACCAACGCTTGCCCTGTTGGATATTGAAATAGCCGTTCTTTGTATAGCTCCTATTCCTGGGCTGTTTGTGTTGGGATAATCTTTTTGTACACTGAAGATGTGTCTGTTTAACTTCATCTGCCTAAGGCACCTTCTGATTGGTTTAATAAAGGGCTGAACGACCAATAGTTAGGCAGGAGAGGATAGGCGGGACTTCCGGGGAGAGAAAGGAACTCTGGGAAAGAATCTGAGGTTTGAGAGATTTGCCAGCCAGCCGTAGAGGAAATCAGACATATGGTACTGAGGAGAGGCAACGAGCCACATGGCAGATGTAGATTAAAATAAACGGGTACATTTAAGTTTTAAGAGCGAGTTGGGAACAAGCCTGAGCTAAGGCCAAGCTTTCATAATTAATGGAAAGTCTCTGTGTCATTATTTGGGAGCTGGCAGTCCAAAGAAAGACCTGTTATAGGTTTGGCTCCTCCAAAAACATTTCATTCACATCAGATATCAAGGAGAGCCTCCATCTTTCTCTACTTCTTTCATTCTCCATCTGAGATGACCAACCTCATTTAGAAAATTCTTTTACATTTTACTTGAAACTTTCTCATCAAAATGGCACTGATGGATGCATCTTCTCTGCAGATTAACGTCGTAATATAACTCTGGAAAGTGAGAATGCGGGAATCTTTGTGACAATGGGATGCTGAGGCTAAACTCTACAGAAAAGCTAATTCATACCAGCAAGGGTTTCACTTTTAAAAAAGAACTTTCTAAGCCATTGGGGGTAGGGCACTGGAAGGATGGCTCAGTGGGTAAAGCATCTGCTGTGCAAGCAGGGAGGTCTGCCTGTGGATTCTCCGCATCCACACAGAGCCAGATGTGGAAGTTCACAGTGCTCCTACGGTGAGATGGGAGGTGGAGACAGGAGAATCCCAGGAAGCATGGACCAGCAGGGCTGGAAGACCAGCAGATGCCTCTAAACAAGGTAGAAGGTAAAGACTGACACCCGAGTTTTCCTCTGAGCTCCACACACGTGCGGTGGAAGGGGCATGCACCTGCATTCACACACACGAACACATACACACAAGGACTGTGGTTTTGGTTTTGGTTTTGGAAGGTGATGAGGAAGGAGGTTGTACATAGAGATATATAAGTCATACTTTATTAGCTCTGATATTAAACACACAGGAAGTTACATTCAAGAACATTCTAGCCAAAGGGCTTCTTAGCCAATCCTGCTGACCACGGTGCACTAACTGAGATAGGATTTCGGCCTCTTTTGCATGGGCACCAATTAGGCCTTAGCTCCAGAGACACGTTTATAGATGAAAGGAGGGCAGAGGGCCAGGTAGAGACACACGTGGCTATGAAGCCTGTGCTCTCTTATTTCAGATGCATCTTTTTAATTAAATGGCACTTTCTGTCACCATGGAACACCCCACTGAATGTGAGGTGGGGAGTTTGTAGATTTCAGAAGCCTGAAGAGGTGGGAAACTTCTTGTTAAAAGACCATCTTCTGCTCTACAAGGCACTCAACAACGTTCCTCTGGAAGCTTGCCTCATGTGGGAAAGGCAGGCTAAAAGACACCATTCTCTTAAAATGCTACACGCACACTGGCACCATCTGTTTCCAACTGAGACAGCTACGCCCTTCCCACAACCCCTACTTCACGGGTGGGGAAGGAGCAACAGACCTCACCAGGAAGGACTGTCAAGTGTCAAGTGTCAAGGCCCCTAGGAAGCACGCAGTGTGAAAATAAGTCACTTAATGATTGAAAAGCTGGCATATCCCAGCATTACTCTCAAAGATCAAAAACACTGAGCTGGCAAGCCCGCCCATCTCGGCCCTGGAAAACCATCAGTCACAGGTTAAGCATCCACAGCACAGACTCCCAAGTCCAAGGGCACTCACCTTGCACTGTCCCGACACACAGATGGCTGTGCCATTCTGGTCACAGGGGGTGCCATCGATGACCTTCTCAGCTTGTCGTACGTAGAAGCGGTAGCCGGTTGCTTGGCAGTTCAACTCACACTTGCGATTGCCTTTTACTATCAAAAAATAATAAAGAACAAAGACGAGGTATGAGTGACCTCAGCTCTGGAGAATCAATCCGCACCCTTCCACCTGTATATTTTATGGAGATAAACTTCACCTAACATAAAATTAACGGTTTTGACCAGAGTGGGGTTAGTATAGTCAAGGTTGTACAACCAATTGCCATAATCAAATTTCAAAGCATTTTCATTTCCCCCAAAAGGAGCCTCACGCCTGTTAGCTGCCTCTTCAGTTCCTCCTTCTGAGCCCGGCAGCCGCTAATTTACTTTCTGTCTTTTCTCCCGTCCTTCTGAGAGTTGTAAGAACACCGTCAGACCTCCCGCATTTGACAGTCTGGGGCAGGCATGTCCCTTCATCTACCGGTGTATGACAGAGATTCAACGCTGACAGAACACTGTAAAGGACTTTCTAAATAATTGTAAATAATTTCTAAATCATTGTAAATAATGATTCTGCTTTGACACACCACCATGCTTTTTTAGATTTGTAGTTATAGTCTATGAATTGGCAAATGTGGTGAGCATGTAATTTTCACACTTTGCTATGCTCTCTCTTAGAACTTAAAAGCTATAAGGGGGACTGGGGATGTGACTTAGGGATATGATCATTTGGTAGAATTCTTGCCGAGCAAGCATGAGACCCTGGGTTTGATCCCCAGCATGGCATAAGTAGGACATAGTGGTACATGCCTGTAACCTCACCACTCCGAAGGTAGAAATTCAAGGTCACCTCCATGATTACACAGCATGCTGGCTAGGGTCATCTGGGAGGAGGGAGCCTCAATTGAGAAAATGCCTTCACCAGACTGGCCTATAGGGAAGTCAGCGGGGCCTTTTATTTTCTGATTGACGATTGGGGAGGGAGAAGCCAGCACACCATGGCAGTGCCACCCTGAGCAGGTGGTCCTGGAGGTCTAAGAAAGGTAGCTGACGTGATCCTGGAGAGCAAGCCAGCAAGCAGTGCTTCTCTACAGTCTCTGCTTCAGTTCCTGCCTCAAGTTCCTGTCCTAACTTGCCTGCAACATGGAGTGTGAGACAGAAGATAAAACAAAGCCCACTTCCTCCTCCAGTTGCTTTTGATCACGGTCTTTATTACAGCAAGAGGAGGCAAACCAGGACACGCAGTGAGTTCGAAGACTGCTTGGGCCACACGAAATCCTGTCTTCATAAACAAACAAAGAGACCTACCTGGTTGTATCACTTTTTATGCTCTCAAAATTTGTTTGTTTGTTTATGTTCATGAGTGTGCATGCAGGCCCATGCCTTTCCAGGGTGTCATAACCGAGGGGGGAAGACCTAGCCTTGACGTGGGTGGCATCATCTCATGGGCTGAGGCCCTGGACTGGATATAAACAAAAGGAGAAAGTGAGCTGGGTACCAGCCTTCCTCTCTCTCTGCTTCCTGACAGGGGACTCCATGTCACCAGCTGCTTCTCACAATGGCCAACTGCACCGCCAAGCAATGGGCAAGGACAAAATTGTCCCTGCCTAAGTTGCTTTGATGACATATTTTTGAGACAGCCACAAGGAAAGCGACAAACACTGTTTTCTTCTCATCTGTCACCTGCCAACTGTATTTCCCTACCTCAGACTCTCTGTTTGTCACTTTACACAGGACCTGGTACACAATAGGTGCTCACTGCATGCTAACTATGGAATGAGAAACAAATCCAGTTGTTTCCAAAAGAAAAAATATGCTTAGGCAAAATATATTTCATATCTAAAAAAAACAGACAAGTCAAGCACACACTGATTTTAAAACCTGTTTCTGAAGACAATATAAATTCCATGCTTAGTTCACAGACAGCACGTTCGGGGTCCTGCCTCTGTCTAAAAACCAGATTACTGGATCTGGTAATACTGGCTTTTTCCTACACAACACAATACATCATATTTTCCCTAGAGTGGCTCCCTGCCTGTCACAGCAAAGAACTTCCCTTTGTTCTACAGCCGCTAGAGCCCACTAACAGGGAAAGCCAGGGAGGCTCAGGGACCACAGGGTTCAGGGAAGGGCGGATCCTTTGTGGGCACCGGAAGTAGCTTACAAGCCCACAGATTACTTTCCTGCTTGGCCACATGAGAACAGAATGGGTGATCTTGAAAAACTAACCACACAGAATACTGAATACCAAGATGGACACATCTTTGGGAATTTCCCCCAAACCAAATTGTTTTATTGCTTCAAGAAATCTAGAGGCTAAGGAGACAGCTGGCAGGTGTGAGGCACTGGGTTCTAGATCCAATAGTGAAAAAAAGGGGGGTAGGTGGGTAGAGGTAAGGGAATGTAAGCCAGAGCAAGGCCTGGACACTACACCTGAGTGCAGTGACCACAGTGGCCAGAGAGGATGTTGGATCCCTTGGAGCTGGAGTTACAGGCAGTTGTGAGCCCCCTCACATGTGCTGGGCGCCAAACTCAGGTCCTCTGTACGAACAGCATGCACTCTTAACCATTGAGCCATTTCTCCAGCCTCACTCTGTGATGAGCTAGCCAGGACTGTCCAGGTGCACTGCATTTTTTTTTTCTGAGACAGGGTTTCTCTGTGTAGCCTTGGCTGTCCTGGAACTTGCTTGGTAGACCAGGCAGGCCTCGAACTCAGAGATCTGCCTGCCTCTGCCTCCTGAGTGCTGGAATTAAAGGTGTGCACCACCACATCAGCCACAATTTTATTTCTTGATATTTGCAACCACAATATAAAAAGTTGCTTAGAGAATGTCCTGGCTAGTTTTATGCCAACTTGATACAAGCTAGAATTATCTGAAAGAAGGGCATCTCAACTGGAGGCTTCTTCAGCTACTCTCACCACCATCAATGCCTGAGGCAAGTCGGAGAGCTGGCCCTGAGGTCATAAGAGCAGGAGAGCTGGCTTTGCCTCCCACCAGCTGCAACGCTCAGGAGAACAGGCCCTGCACCTCAACCTGGGCAGCATAGTAGAGCCAACCATGTTGGTGGAGGTATGGGTGAGCCAGCCCAAAGTTGGGAGCATGATAGAGCCTTCCCCATTACTCATCTGTCATGTGGTGGCATGGGTGGGGGAGAGATGCCCTCTCCTCTCACCCATCAATGCCTAAGGCAGGTAGGAGAGCTGTCCCTGTCTGTCCCTCATCAGCTGCAACACTCTAGAGAGTGGCCCCTACACCTCTCCTGGGCAACATAACAGAGCTGGCCCTGAAGGTGTAGGTGTAGGGAGAATCAACTCTGAGGACAGGAAAGCCAGAGAACTGGCCCCGCCCCTTGCTCCTTGCTGCAAGGGGTGAATTAGCCAGGGCAATGCTGGAGAGCTAATCCTGGTGGTGAAGACAGGGGAGAGCCGGCAGGCTGACCAACCCTGCAACTACCCAGGCCTAGAACCAGGGTTATGTGTTGGCCCACCCCAATATCCACCCCATGTGCTATCTGCTGAAGCAGGGTGGGGGGGGGATGGGGGAAGTAAGGGGGTGGAGTGGGGTGTCAATCCTACAGAACCAGGACCACAGAATCTTGATGACACAGGGCAGCAAAGGGATGTCCAAGAAGAGTTCTAGTGAGGGCCCAGCGTTGATGGTACAGCAGAAACCAGGAGCCGCAAACCAGACCAATGATTCTTTGTGATAAACACTTGTGTGTAAAAATATATGGATAAAGGGGTTTACTGCGTGATTCACTGTGTCACACTGCAGCTTCCATGATGAGATTTTCCCCTTTTTCCTTTTTCTCTTTCTTTCTTTTTTTCCTCTTAAATTTTACTTATTTGGAGGGGGGAGATAGATAGGATCGGGAGGCATGATGTGAAAGACACAAAGAAGAAATAAAAAGAAAGTTAGAAAAATCAATAAATCTTTAAAAAGAAGGAAGGAAGGAAGGAAGGAGGAAAGGAAAGAAAGAAGGAAGGAAGGAAAGAAAGAAGGAAGGAAGGAAAAGCAGGCTGAGCAGATCATGGGAAGCAAGCCAGTAAGCAGCACCCCTCCATGGCCTCTGCATCAGCTCCTGCCTTCAGGATCCTGCCCTGTTTGAGTTCCTGTCCTGACTTCCTTCAGTGATGAACAGTGCTGTGGAAGTGTGAGCCAAATAATCCTTTCCTCCCCAACTTGCTTTGGCCATGGTGTTTCATCATAGGAATAGAAACCCTAACTAAGACAGAGAAGGAGAAAGAGAAGGAGAAAAAAAGGAAGGTTAAGCATGAGATAGTTTCAACAGAATCACCAAATGGAAACAACCCAGAAGAATGGTCTCAGGCTCAGATTCATTCGTTCTACCTACAGCTCCAACCTGTCACTGGGCTAGAACCCTGCTCCCGATGCTTACATGGTGATCCCTTCTTCTCAGATCTGTACCCAAGATATAACTGAAGCCCGAGCTCCTGTGAACCTCCTGACAATATGACCAATGTCCTGTTGCCTTAGAGAGCATCCTGGAGCTTCTGTGCAGATTTCATCCAGGCTCTTCTGGACCCTGCATATACATATATGCATCCTCTCCCCACCTCCTCCGGCACCCCCCCCCCCCCCCCGCCGCCTTTGAGGTTCTCAACAAGATATCCATAAAGGGCTCAGAAGAAAGGCTGGGAAACAAGAGTCCATGTTATTCCTATGGCTCTCTCTGGAATGGAAGAAGTATAATTCTAGGACTGTGGAGCTCAGTGGTCGAGCACATGTTTAACACATGGAGATCCCAACATTCAATCCCAGCACTACTAAAAAAAACAAAAAAATTGCAGTTCTGATACGAGGAGGTCTCTCTCTGAGCAGATTCGCCATGGTTTCTCAGTGCAGGGGAGGTGGAATCAAAAAGTAGTCATCGGGGCAGCTGTGGTCTAAGTGTCACTGAGCACACATTTCTTTCCCACGTCCCTCCTGCCTGTTCCTCCCCACTCTGTTCTCCTCTGCTTCCCAATGCTCCCCTGGTTCCCATGGAGATCCCTTGACCCTTTACCCACAACACTAGTGGTCCCGGGTTTGTTTGTGGTGGTCCCGGGTGTGTTTGTGGTGGTCCCTTGCACTGGGCATCACTGGGGAACT